GAATTTCAGCACTTTTCAACTTAGATTTTTGGCCATATCTTGAATATAGAGATGAACAGTTTGTCAGCGCAACTCCTCTTAAACCGCTGCACAGAATTTGGACAAACTTTGCAGATATTTAGTACACAGTGTGTAGATGTGCATATTACCAGGAAATTCCGATTCTCTATTTTTCTGGGAATTTCGGCACTTTTCAACTTAGGTTTTTGGCCATATCTTGAATATAGAGGTGAACAATTTGTCAGCACAACTCCTATTAAACCGCTGCATAGAATTTGGTCAAACTTTGCAGATATTTAGCACACAATGTATAGATGTGCATATTACAAGGAAATTCCGATTCCTTTATATTTTCTTGGAATTTCGGCACTTTTCAACTTAGATTTTTGGCCATATCTTCAATATAGAGATGAACAGTTTGTCAGCACAACTCCTCTTAAACCGCTGCACAGAATTTGGTCAATCTCTGCAGATATTTAGTACACAGTGTGTAGATGTGCATATTACCAGGAAATTCTGATTCCATTATTTTTTCTGGGAATTTCGGCACTTTTCAACTTAGGTTTTTGGCCATATCTTGAATATAGAGATGAACAGTTTGTCAGCACAACTCCTCTTAAACCGCTGCACAGAATTTGGACAAACTTTGCAGATATTTAGTACACAGTGTGTAGATGTGCATATTACCAGGAAATTCCGATTCCATTATTTTTGCCTTAAGAGTTTTGCCTTTTATTGAAGAAACTTTCCAGCTAGGTAATAAGAAACTCCACTGGAATCAGCTTTTTATAATGAAATTCTATGTGAAATATTTTATGACCTTTAAAGACCCCTATTGATTTTGAGATCAAAATATTAATGGTTTAACACAAACACACACTCACACACACACCATCTTTGATAGTTCTCTCCCCCCCCCCCCTTCAAATTGGTGTGCTTTGCCTTAAATAATTTCATAAGTACAGTATATAAACAGATTCATATGACTACATCATAATTTTGTTTCCATCAATTATTTAAATGTGTAAACTGTCATGTGTTGGACATGGACTTACACTCATTAACAAATCGAAATCACTGAGGAATTTAAATAACAGTTTGTCAGCATAATTCCGGCACTGAATTTCCTGGAACTTTGTAGGTATTTCAGAATAATGTATAGATTTGTATATTACCAAGAAATTTTGATTCCATTATTTATCTAGAAACTTCAGCCCAGTTAAATTTGTAACATACAAAGATTTGAATGTCCTTATATGCAAGAAGTTTTGATGTGATGATTTTTTGCAAGTAATGCCCCTTTTTTGAATTATACTGTGTATTTAAAATGCACTGTGCCATTCATTACGTGTTGCATTGTCGAGTTTTGGGGAAGCGTGGGGTATGTGAGCTTGCTCACTTTTTCTTTCATTCATAAACATATTTAGTGTTTAGGTATTGACTTAAAGTTAAGTGTCCTCGGGATGTAGGTATTTAGTTCCATGTGTATTACATCAAAACTGATATGTACAGCTATGTCATCATCATTGCACAATTGCATCTTAACAGTTGATAAAAGAACCACAATAAAATCGGGGAGGTGTCTTAATTAAGTAGATAAGAAATACTTAAGTTTTCTTCATCAAGATAAAAACAATGGTGCACAGAGGAAATCTTAATCTTTCATTAAGAAACAATGCTATAAATCTAACTAGAAACTCTTTTTGACTTGGATATTTATCAACTGTTAAGATGCAATTGTGCAATGATGATGACAAAGCTGTACATATCAGTTGTGATTTAATACACATGGAACTAAATACCTACATCACAAAAGAGTGCACTTTTTGTTCGGGGATTTTTATGCGTTGCTAGGGTGACATGACTTAATTTTCTCAGAATTAAACTTAGCAAAGAATTGCAATTAGAATTTATTTAGAAATGACTTAAGAATTTTTCCTTAACTAAGAATTTATTTTATACTTAAGTGTGATTCTTAGCACAAAACTTAAGTATCTTTATGAATCCAGTCCTGATGTCTATTAAATTTATGAGCGTTGGATAATTATCAAATGCCACAAAACACAAACTTATGTTCCGTGCCTGTTAAAGGGATGCCTATTCCGATCTGCTGGTTATTAATCATGAAAAAACGGACGTATATAAGGTCTTTGATCCGAGTAAGATTTGAAAGGGTTTATCAGTCGATGAATATGCGTGCCAAATTTAAAGAGTTTTTCTACTACGGATCAAAATATTAAAGACAAATGTTAAAGAAGGACAGTCATAGCAAAATCAGAATGTCCCGATCTTTTATCCTGATGAATTTGTCTTTTAAGTTTGATTTCTATCGGTTGGCTTATAGAGTTTTGAATTTTTAAATTGACATATCACCTTAAAAAGTATGGTAAATCTCGAACGAGGATGAAAAAGTTATTTTATTTTCACCAAAGTTCAAGTTCAAGGTCCATGATTTACAAAAATATATCAACTATAATTAGAAAAATAAATAAATTTGTACATTTTTCTTTTAAATTTATTTGATAATTTTTGTCTTTCTGAGAAAAAAATTAAATCAAATACTAATAAAAAAACAATTAAAAGTTCATCAAAAAGTTTGTGAAGAATAGATTCAAATGGCAATTTCACAGCAATACAAATGAGATAATAAATGTCAGATCTATTAAAAAGAAAACACTATTTTTGCCCGAAAATAAAAAAAAAAGAAGAAGAAAAATACCGAACACTCCCCAAGGAAGACAGAATATAGATCTTAAATCAAATACTAATAAAAAAAACAATTAAAAGTTCATCAAAAAGTTTGTGAAGAATAGATTCAAATGGCAATTTCACAGCAATACAAATGAGATAATAAATGTCAGATCTATTAAAAAGAAAACACTATTTTTGCCCGAAAATAAAAAAAAAAGAAGAAGAAAAATACCGAACACTCCCCAAGGAAGACAGAATATAGATCTTCGGGAGTTAGGTTAAATGCCTCATATCATGCTGCAGTGAACTGTAAATAAAAGCATTAGTTGAGCAATTCCATTTGCTTCAATCAAAGAATATAAGAATTTCTTTCATTGCGGTGGTATGAAGAGGTTACTCCTCGCAGACATGCATAATGTAAATCTCTGACGTATATTTATCGCTTCTTTTTCTTGAACATTACATGGTATGTTTGATTTTTATAGCGGTATAAATTTAAATCGAAATACACTCAACTTCTTGTGTCTAAAAGTAATACAAGACTTGATAAACTGTTTATAAAGTTTGGCTAATGCACCCCTCTTCTCCTTTTGTACATGTACGTGTATCTTTGTATGAACCGAGGGAGGAATTTTTCTATATAATTTGTCATCTTTTATCAATGTGCTGTCTATTCTTCATTGAAGACGTGTAAGTAAATCCCAGTTTTTTTTTTTGCATTGCTTGTTTTTTTTCACCTTTTTTGTGACGATGTTAACGTAGTTAACGAATGTTAATGAATTCCAGACGCTGCATTCGAGCAATATTCCACTGAAATTGCTTACGACGAATTATACAGGTTCCAATAGTGAACAAGAGACAAATAAAAACTACAGGTGTTAATCCCCTCAGTGTTCACATTATCACAATAATCACAATGTAGATGTGTCAAAACATTTGCATTTATACATGTATATATTAACACTGTAACAATTTTTCACAATATAAACACAAAAAGTAACCCCATCTAATTATTTTCTTTAAGGGTGTACGGGGAAAATTACTTCGTTTTTGCTTTGGACAATGTGTCCTCTCCGTTAATTTAACACGCAAGATTTAGATATATATCTATACAATTAAGTACGATATTTGATGTAACTTGTTGACAAGGCAAATCAACAAAGACGGCCCCATAAAACGTATGAAATGACAACTACAAAGTAGCCCAGGGAAATTTGACCATCATATCACATCAAATTGTGCAAAGTATAATGGAGAATAATTTTAAAAAGAAAAATAATTCATATCTCATACAAATAAAAATTTAAATATCTTCTTTGAAAGGAAATCAGAGAAATATTACAAATATTGTACATAGTTCTCTGAAATTATCTTTCCTAAATATTGAAAAGAGAAAAATATTACGAACAATAATTGGACCAGTCCCAATGATAGGTAAATATAAATATTTTTTTTTCGTTTGAAGGAAGCAAAACGTTTTATTTTAACGAACCTTTTCTATTATACTCCTAGTATTTATAATTATCAATAGTCTATGTACACTGTATGTTCTGAGTGTAGATATTAGGAACAATATTATCATTATACAAAACCGAATTCATTTTAATCATTTCTGTTGCATGTATTTCATAATATATAATAATATATGAATATACACTATAAGGACAAAAGGATGAATATAGGTATACAAAGTCGTACGCTTCTGACATCTGCCCTTACATGTATGTTGCAAATTCCTCGCAAAAAAATTGACGTCATCAGGTCGGTCATATACCTTAGGGCTAATAAACGGTAACGGAAAAATGAAGTGCAAGCACACATACATGTAATTAGTATTAAGTGTGTAAATTCGTATTTAACTTTGTAATCATAAATACTTCTTTTCATTGCCTGTTCTTTAAAAAACAAAATAATAGATGTGGTTGTAATACAATAATCCCTTTAACTGAGAGGGGGAAAATGTTAAGAACGTCAATAAGCTTGACTATTCAAAAGAGAGAGTGAAAGAAAAAAGGAAATTATCCCATTCTATGAAATTTATCATCCGCTCAATGATGTCGTTTTAAAAACATTTTAATTAAGAATTTCGGCACAAATTCAAATATGCCTTGAATGAAACTGTTTTTCTCGGTACCGATTTTATCGATGGTGTCGACTGCTGCGCGTAATGCAGAAGGCTTGATAGCAGGTTCTCTTTCTTCGAATGATAGATATCAAAATCTCCCATAAATCAAGGGCAAGCAATATACATTTCATTTCAAAAAGCCTATAAAATGAATCATTTCACACCTGGTTTCAAATATACTTACCCCCGCCGTTATTGTAGCAAATGTACGGAAATCTCCAGACATTTCCCAAGTCAACGGCAAATCCTATAATAGAAAGAAGAAAGTCGATTTTCTTTCCCCATGTCTCTCTTCCTTCTATCTTAACTTCAGATTCCTTCTTTTCATCCCGAGTCACTGCATTTGACTTATTGGACAATAGTTTTTCCTTGATATAAGACATGAGTGAGGTTCGGTTCACGTTGTAATTTACTTTTTCCACTTTGTCATTGGCTGGTGAAATCCCAGAGGTCTTTCGAATTCTTTCTACCACATTTACCGGTTTGTCACTTTTATAATATTTTTCTATCTGATAAATCTCCAAATCAGAATTTTCAGATTCATTATCACCATGATTTATATCAGAATTGAGGTTATTTCTGACTTTATTGTGGTCAGCTGAAGTCACTCGTTCCTGGAAGCTTTGATGAATCTTGTCATACTCTTGTAAAACGTATCCCTGGTCACTTGCTGCCGCATCAGCTGTAGAAGTATTAGTAAACGCCGCGTTATCGTAGTGTAAGTGAATGGATTTTTCGTCTCGTGTTTTCATTGGCTGGTTCATCTTCTCTGTGGATTATGAACCCATAAATTAAAAAAAAAACAGATTTATTACAGCGAATTAAAATTTTCCGATTGTTATTTCTCTGTTCACCTGTACCCTTAAACGCACATAATCCTTCTCTGTGTCAAGGATAAGGACTTAAATCACGCTACCTGCAAGGAAAAAAAAACCTACGCAATCACAGTTTTTCATATATAAACATGAATACATAGTTTGGTTGATTTTTCAAAATAAAAAATTAAAAAAAAGATAAATAGATAAGTAAACTAAATATATAGAAACATATAAATATGTCAACACAATTGGTGAAGTAAAGAGTAATATTCATGATTATATACTTTCACTGCATATGGATGAAAGACACATGCAAAAACAAACAAAAAGAAACACAACAACACTTAAACAACATCCACCATTAAACTTTCAAATCAAAAATATTCCATCGCTATAATGGGAGATAATAAGAGACCATGGGCAACAGCGCTCACCCGAGTAACGTGCCCACTATTTTAAAAAAAAAAATCTTCATTATTTTCATGATTTTGACCCTATGTTATCTCCCCACTTTAGCCCCAAGGGATAATAAAGAAACTATCATGAATCCACACAAATGGGAATTCTTCAATATCAATACGACTAAAATAGACTTGCTATTCTGGAGAAAAGAATTTTTGCTATTCTGGAGAAAAGAATTTTTACAATAATTTTATTTGTCTTTGCATGTAACATGCAAAAGAAGAAGAGTGAACAAGGAGAGTAAACTGCCTATTGTGCGACAATTAAGAAAGTGACAAATTAAATCTCAATTATGACATTTCTTTCATAATCCATATAGCAATAACATATACTTTAATATGTAAAATCTCCAAAAATCGCAAAAATCTCACAAAGTATTATGAGTGGATCTTTGCTTTTTTTTGTTGTTGTTGAAAGATTATACTCAAACGATATGCTTTAAAATATCCATTCTTCTGCTAACAAAAACATGGAGCGATGACCCACTTTACTTTAACTATACACTTTTATGACTTTTTGAAAAATATTTGAAGTCCATTCACTCAAGAGTCTTATCACACACATGATTTACAAACCAATAAAAAAAATTGTTATGAATGGTGTATATATATATATATATATATATATATATATATATATATATATATATATATATATATATATATATATATATATATATATATATATATATATAACGAAAAAGAATTTCTGAAAAATTGTTGAACAAAAAGTGTTCAAAATCACGAAAGCTTTAAGATGATATCAAGAAATAGGGGCTGAACACTCAAGGGCCCAAGATGAGCGGAAAAACTTTAATCTATAACTTTTTTAATGATCGATATTTTGTTACACATAACTAAGCAAAATTTTTCCGCTTAACAATTTATTTAAATCAATATTTTTAAACGAAAATCTCGGTCAAATTTTTATCTCATCGAAAATCGGACGGAAGACCCACTCGTTGCTCGCAACGAGATCGCATCTAGTTTTATTAGGGTCTTCTGTCTTCAGCGGAAGACCCTTCTATTATTATTATGTTTCTTTTTCAAGTTTCTTATTAGGGTCTTCCGTCTTCAGCATTAGACCCTTCTATTATTGCACTGTTTCTTTTCCCTATTATTATTATTTTCCTACACCGGTATCTCAGTAACGGTACAGTAGATTTTTATGAAACTTTCAGAGATGATAGGGAACAATGTTTTCTCGGGACTTTTTTTTCATTTTTGATGATTTCACTTCCGGTCGCGAAATATGACGTATTTTTGACGTTTTGCTGCAATTATGGTCTGTCCTACTCCGAAAAAACTGCGCAAAAAGAAATTTGAAATTTTCAGGAATGATAGAATGTGACCTTTACATGTACATGTGCACCTGACTTTTGAAATTTTAAGATGCATGTGAGTTCATTAATAAACAATATAAGATAAGATTTTTAAAGTTTTCAAATTTTAGAGTTAAATTTTTCAAAAAAATTTTTTTTATCAAATTTTAATTTTTTTTTTTTTTGATATTGTTAAATAGAACTTGACAAGAACTTCCAAAAATGCATTTGTTTTGCATGTGAGTACATTAGTAAACAATATATAAGCTCAGGTGTGTTAGGACACTTGAATGCAACTGTAATGTACTCTTAGAACTTTTCTTTAAAAAAATCATTATTCTTTTATTTCTTGACCGATTTTAAAACTTTTTACATCTTTACGAGCGTCTCCATATGAGTGAAAAATTCTCGAGAGGAACGTTAAACAACAAACAATCAATCAATAGATCTTTACGAGACCTTTCCAACAATATATTTCTTTTGTTTGTAAATGCACTAATAAAGAAAATATGAGCTCAGGTATGTTAGCTTTTTTTGACAGGACATGTCAAACTCATTATCAGGGACACTTGTGGATGACCGTACTCTTTAACCTTTGATTTCTTTTTAAAAATCATTACTCTGTTATTTCTTGACCAATTTTAAAACTTTTTACACCGTCTGATAGATCTTCCTGTGACCTTTCTTACAGTGTAATTGTTTTGATTTTAGGTGCACTTATAAAGAAAATATGAGCTTAGGTGTGTTAGAGAATTTTGACGGCCCATGTATAAGTTATTGATTTTCTTCAACGATGTGTAATACACAGTGACCTAAAAAAGCAAGGGCATTCAATAAAGTCTGAAATAGTGATTTCATAATATGCCCGAGGTGTCGCCCGCGTGACGCAGTGGTTGGAGCGTCTGCTCTAGAGTCGCGAAGTAAGGAGTTGATGCTTACGTCGCGGGTTCGAATCCCACTGTGGGACGTGGAGACCGGTCCTTCGGATGAGACCGTATAAACCGAGGTCCCGTGTCGCAGTGGGTGCTGGCATGAAAAAGATCCCTCACTGCTCAATGGCCGTAAGTGCCGAGTATAGGACAAAATTTGCAGCTCTCCACCGGCAAGTGGTGGCGTCTCCATATGAGTGAAAAATTCTCGAGAGGGACGTTAAACAAAATACAATCAATCAATCAATATACCCGAGGTTCTGAAAATTTATGTATTCAATTTAAATCATTGACAGTTTTGAATACTATACCTTCAAATTTTAAAACCGTAAGATTTTGATATATCCTCTAATGTTTAAATCGATAAGCTCCTACTTGATGAATTTTTATTATAGCATTTAAAACTTCAAAAATTTTCAAATTTGGAATAGTTTAAAAGCCTTAAAATATGTAATCAAGAGCATCTAAAATAATGAGAACATAAATGAGAGTGATTTGGAATCTTTTGAAGGTTAAAAAGAAATTTAAACGATTTAAATCTTTTTAAAAAAAATTCACAATTCTTCCAAAGATGGAGAACAGCATACAATGTGTTTTGAAATCTTTTTAAGGTCAAATAGGGTGAGATTTAAGGAAGCGATTGCAAGGCGTCACGTGATCGACTTATGTGATGTTTAAAAAAAGAAAGTTCACGGTAACCATGCATTTCCGGAATAAGTAGCTTGATATGATTGCGCACGTAACAAAAAGTCCTCGTGGCAATATTTCTAGAACAGAAAAAGAATAAGATAAAGATGTGACATTGCAGAGTGTTGGTGAGCGTCGACAATTTTTTTTTCATGTGTCATTTTTACGTTTAAACACGTATAGCTTTTATCGTAGTTCTGAACATTGGACTCTATTTCAATAATTAATTTTAATTTATATCTGGATCTCTATGTCCTCTAGTTTTAATTAAAATATTAGAATTCTATTCGAGGTCGGATTCTTTACTATCTGATCTACATCCACGTATAGATATTTATTTCCTAGAAGCTTCAGACAGCGTGGTTTTTTTCCCCAGTTATTAATGAATATGAATGAACAGATGGACGAATGCGATTTTGATATGTCTAGATCAGTTTGACGTTGCATGCTGGACATGAACACATATTTTTAAAAATATTGCAGAGGAAATTGTTTTCCTCTGTAAGATCTTCTCTAGCATTTTCAACACTTACATCGACCATGCAAACATTGAATCATCGTTGCATATATTGCGTAAACATTTGTTGTAATGCGTCGTACGTATTTGGTCAACAATTGAAACTCAACACCCGATCTTCTTTTGAAGAAAGAAAAGTTTCCTTTTGCAAGATTTCACAAATCTAGCAAAATATACACGTGTAAGAATGATAGACGAAAATATAATTTCTTCTAAATAAAAAAAAAGATATAAATCTGACAATCGAGGTGCTATATGTTAATATAATTTGGGTCATTAGTCACCTCCAAAAGAAGAGAATGACACTTTTGGGCAATTAGCCACCACTTTGGAATATATGTACCTCAGGAGGCTGAAGAGTTGTTGTAAATGGCGGGAAGCAATAACAAGCTTACTAGGAGTGACTAGAGGTCGTACCAGGTAATTTGGGCCAACTTTTCATGGTAGCAGAGCGTGTAAACAGAGAATAACCATGGCTAGTAGCTTCAAGAACCCTCCAGCATTTGATCAAAAGTCCATGACCTATGAAACATGGAAAAACGAAGTTGCAGTGTGGCAACTGGTAACAGAACTGAAGAAAGAAAAACAAGCCCTGGCTGTGTCATTGTCCCTGACTGGAAATGCTAGGGAAACAGCAATGGAGCTTCCAGCGGAAGAATTAGGAAAAGAAGACGGTATGAAGAAACTAATGGCACAATTAGATAAAGTTTTTCTTCGAGATGACAAAGATAAGGCATATGAGGCCTACAAAAACTTTGATGTGTTTAAGAAAACAGAAAGTACGAAAATATCTGATTACATTGTTGAGTTTGATAAACGATACAACAAGGCCCAAAAATTTGACATGGCACTCCCTGAGGCAGTTCTTGCTTTTAAAATATTGGACAATGCAGGACTTTCCATACAAGAGAAACAGTTAGCATTAACTGCATGCACCGATCGACTTTAAGTACAAAGCTATGAAGTCAGCATTACAAAGGATTTTTGGTGAAAGTGTGAGTTCTAGTTTAGATGTGAAAACTGATAACCCAATCATTACAGTCAAACAAGAACCTGTTTTTTTCACACATCAGAAGAA